CTGCACTAAATATACAGTGTAAATGCACCTTCTGTCACCACAATAATTTTTGGTAGAGACTTGAGCATGGATATTTTTTGGTATCTGTGGCAGGGCATGGGTGGGCGGGTCTGGAGTCCTGTGGATACTGAGAATGTATCAGTGTGGAGAAGGGGTGCTCTGAATCTTAATTAGTCTACCTTTCTGATTGAAACTCTTCCCACATTTATACGATTTCTGTCCCTTGTGAGTTTCCAGATGTTTGAGCAATATGTCTCTCCGAGAAAATTCTCTGCCACATTCGGGGCATTTCAGGGGCCATTCCGCATTGTGGGTCCTCAGGTGTCCTACCAAGTGTTCTCTCTGCCGGAAACATTTGCCACACTGACGGCACTCATATGGCTTCTCTCCTGTGTGGATCCTCTCATGTTTCTTCAAATGTTCTCTCCGGCTAAACTTCTTACCGCACTCAGGGCAGTCGTAGGGTCTCTCTCCGGTATGAATTCTCTGGTGGTTCTTCAAATGGTCCCGGTGGGTGAAGCATTTCCCGCACTGAGAGCATTTGTGCGGTTTCACTCCGGTATGAATCCTCTCGTGCTTCTTCAGGTGGTTTCTCTGGCTGAAGCACTTCCCGCACTGGCCACATTTATGCGGCTTCACCCCGGTATGATTTTTCTGGTGCCTGATTAACCTTTCTAGCAACATGAAGCTTTTCCCGCAAGAAGAGCACTTGTACGGTCTCCCTTCCAAAGGAACCTCATGGTTTGTCATGAACGCCGATAAATAATTTAAGTTTTTGTCACACTCAGCATAAGCATAGGGATTCCTCCCTGAAAGGTTACTTGGACATCCCATTAAATTCCCCTTCTTCCTGCAATCAGAGACTTCGTTTTCCTTCTCTCCCACTTTCAGTCCCTGATGTTTATCAAAGCATGATCCTTCCGGGAAATGTTTCACTACTATGGGAAATGGATAGGAATCCACTCTGGTATGCATTGTATCTTCTGATCTGTAGCTGTATCCTGCATCATCCTGCGAAAAAGAGGGCATTTTTTCTGCTCCATGAATGGTGGGCCTCTGGCTAACTCCACCTAGAAGACCTTTCGAGAGTGCAGTACCTTCATTCTCTCTTTGTATGGGCTTAACTAGTTGTTGCCCTTCAGGTTCCCATTGCTGTCCGGGAATTTTGTCAACCACAAGGTTCCCTTTGCCTCCTTGGGCACGCGGCCTCCATATTTCCTCAGGCCTCATCTCTTCCTGCCGAACAGTCTCTATCTTGAATGGATTTCTCTTCTTTTCACCTATGGAGACACAAAGAAACATTTTTCCCATGCTCAGGTCCCTGAACACTTTGCCAAACCCTTGGCCTTCTCACCTTCTTTAGTAGGAGTAAACTGGTTCAGTGTACATTACACAAATCAAGCCCAGATATATATACACACACACACACACACACACACACACACTAAATAGATATAATTCATT